GGTATAAAAGGGGTTCAAGGCATTCACCACAGTCAGTGTCCCAAGTCCCAGTCCCAATGGTCCGAATGGTCCCAGTCCCACGGACGTAACTGATTTGGCAGGACCAGCAGCCAAAGTGCCAAACTTAGGTCCCAGAGGTCAGTAGGGTCCGGTAGGCCGGACAGAAGGTTTAGGGTCATTAGAAGTCCAGTAGGCCTGGTACTAGACAAGAAAGTCCCAATATAAATTTTGGCAGCAGCATCCTGGAAAGTTCGGTGCGTTCCGGAACTGACAAAAATGCAGCGGACACCAGCAAAGACCTCAACCAAGTCAATGCCTATGTTGTGGAAGCTCTGCTAAATGCTTGTGCAACCATACGGGTCGACTGGTCGGGGAGATTGAGGAAGAAGCTGGCGCTGCAGTAGCGCCATAGCTAGGGTTACCAAGGAAGACGACAATCGCCATAGCTCGTAGGGTACTAGAAGAGAGAGAGAGGAGAGTGCACTCAGAGAGTGAGAGAGCAATCTCAGTGAGGAGAGTGAGAGATACAAGAGAGAAGAGAGCGCACGTACGAGCGCGTGAGAGAGAGAGAGAGAGAGAGAGAGAGAGAACTTACCTGAGTGAGGATAATGGATGGCGGCAATGGCCACATGTAGCCGCATGTACCATGAGCTTGGCACTCGGATAATTTTGGTGTGCCTGGAAATAATTATTTCGGTTTTCGGCTAATTGCCATCTCGCCACCTTGTCAGAGCGCTTTGAGTGGAATTCGGTCTGATGCATGGTAGCGATTGAAGATGACTTTGAGCTGGTTCGTTGCACTTAATTTGATTTGTAATGTTGTATTCTAATTTTCATGAGCTGGTTCGTTGCACTTAATTTGATTTGTAATATTGTATTCTAATTTTCATGCTCGGTGTAGAATTCAGCAGCCTGTTCCCAGCCTGGTATCCTAGCTCTTAGGTATGTTGGAAGCCTGTCATCAAAATTCTATTCAGATATGGCTTTCTTTTTCACACACACACACACGCACACACACACACACACACACACACACACACACACAACACACGCACACAACTCACACACACACACACACCACAAACCATGTGTGTCCAGTTACATTTGTACTGCTTCGTTCAGTTAAAGTCATGAGCAAATCCATACCTGCGGATGATAGGCACCTCCAGAAACACAGAGAAGAACTTCTCTAAAACTTTCTTCAGTGCTGCCTCTGTAGGGCTCTGCTGCCCTCCTGGGAGCTCTGAGCGATCAATCTCTGCTTGCAGGCCATCCCCCAAGTCAACCTTAATTTTCGCAGGTGTGTTCTGCTCCGAAAGCGTACTGGCACTTCTTTTCTTCAGAATAGCCGCTGAAAATCCCGATGCCCAAACCTGAATCATGTCCAGGAGGAAAGGAAAAAGGTTAGCATTTAAATTTAATCGGTTGGATAAAAGCATTATACTTTCGAAAACAGCAACGGCCAGCAAGGAAAAGCTCCCATCGCAGCACCTTTGCTCTCTACAAACTCACAAACGATTGTGCGCCCTCAACTACTATGCTGCAAAGCTAAAAGCTTGAACAAATAGAAATGACGAAGAGTCCCTAGTTGAAGCGTTCCCGACCCCTCTTGTAGCATCTGCCATAAATATTAATTAAATTCCCATAATGTTAAATCCTTATGAACAAAGCAGTTGGTTTGACATGTGAAACAGAAGACAAGCCCATCACACAGAGGGAAACAACAAAAGCTGCCAGCTCAGTCAGCTGGATGCTGGAAATACATGCCTCAAGTTTACCAACAAAACACGACAGACCGCCAGCTCTGCATCCCTATTCTGCAACGCTACGCTTCAACTCATAGAAGTGATGAAGAGCCTCTAGTTAGAAGCATTCCCCGCCCTTCGTCTACCATCCACCATAATGTTAAATCCCCCCTAACGAACAAAGCAGCTGCTTTGACATGTGAAACAGAAGACAAGCCACTACTCAACAGTGTCACACAGACGGGAGCAATATATGCTCCCAGTTTTTAAGTCGACTGGACGCAGAAAATACAAACCTCAACTTCACCGACAAAACCCTAAACCATAGCAGAATGCTTTACCGTGCAGATTCTACGAAACAGCTTCACATCGTTATGCTCATGTAGATTGTCCTGGACATGCAGATTATATAAAAAAAATTACGATAACAGGCGCTCATCAAACGGATGGTGCTAACAGAATGATTCACCGTGCCGAAGGGAGTATTAAAGTATTTCAATTACGGCCCGGTCCTGCTGAATACTATTGTGCACGAAGATTCTGCCAAACTTCACAGCAACTTCCATGTTTCAGAGGAGTGTACCAAAAGGCCTAGCTCAGTTGGTACAGCCCTGAACTGTTGAAATACGATATACTGATTGGGACCTTCAGTTCGAATCCCAATCAGCTCAGAAGAGCAAATGCTGAATTTACTTTGGGCTGTTCAGTGAGAAGATGATATCTCAAGGCTGTCGCCCTTTCTCCAGGAAAAAAAACGAAAACCTAGGGGAAAAAAACGGGTTTCAGGGAGACTGCAGGGTAAGCTAAGCCAGCAAGAATACATGATAGGCAGATGCTGCCAATTGAATATACTTCCGAGGTCGCATTCGCGCAAAAAAGTATACTTCGTGTATGTATTTGTTTGCAAAATAAAGGAGTGTGTTAGACCTCCTTAGAAAACCAGCTGCAGCCAAACTCCTGATCTGGGTTTGACATTCAAGCATGTGCTAATATTAGCTCCTTGCCAAACTCCTGATGTCAGGCTTTATGTGTTTACGTGTCATCTTTCGCAGCGGCCAATGGCCATGCTAATCTTCTGTGTATCGTTCCAATTTTAACGAATTTCCCTAGGGACCTGCAAACAAATAAACTGTCTATCAACTCTACCCTTATCGCGCCCATCGAGTTTTCATCCCTGTTTCAACCACCACAGACCTCACATCCAGCTGCTCATTCTGCATTCAGCCTACAAGAAAACGCACAACAAATGGGAATACCTACGCTAGCATTACTAGAGAAGGAAGTATGCGAACATATCTAAAAAAGCCTATGGACAGGAAAGACGACGACACTAATTGGCCCACCTTCACGATTGAGAGACTTGACAACAACAGAAGAGAAGAAAGCCTATGACACTAACCTGCCCACTGTCACAACACAGAGACTTGCAAGCGCCCAGTTAGAAAAATACGAAATTACCACGCGAAGCCACTTCCCACACAAGCAATCTCCTCGTTAAGGGAAAAGCGATCGAAGGAGATCGAACAAACACTCCTCACAGTACTCAGTTCAAGTTGTTCAACCCATCGCCATAGACAAGAGATACCACTTAATATTGTCTTGCAGGGTCAAGGTGTCTGTACTTAGCACAATTGCAGGTCAGGTGCACCAACTGCGAGGATCTGGGTCCTCGGCAGGCCTAAGGGGCCTCTTGCTGCAGATGTGCCCGCCCTAAGTGAAGGCGGGCCTGACAAATCACTAGAGGCCCTAAGCTGTCAATATCGTATTCGGGGTCCAGGCAGTTTCGTCATGCCAGTTGGTTGAGTAAAACACAGGCCGAGCAGCGAAACTTTCGACGGCCTTCCAGGCCTTTCCAAAATGATGCAGGCCCTGGACGAGAATCGCAGCCTCATACACAGACAGTTGGGAGACCCAACCGAATGAGGCCCAGTAGCTGCAAGAGAGGTGCAGCATCCTGGGGCCTACCGGAAGCTTCTGGGCCCAGGCCCAAGCCAGCCAGGCTGCGAAGACAGACAGGCTCTTTCCACATAGGAAAGAGCTCGCGGCCTGGAGGCTCGTTCGGGCACTTGCTGGCTGGCGGCAGTGCTGCTGGAGCTCATGCTCGCGTGCTGGCTGCTAACGCTGGAGCAAGGTGCTGCGCACGTGCGGTCGTGTGTGGAAGGAGGGCACTGCTAGCAGCGCCATAGCCCAGCCTTCATAGCTGTCTGAGGGCTTGAATGTACAGCGCAGGGGTGGTCTTCGGGTATACAGGGGGAAGACGTGGGTGTAAGACGAGGGAGAGGGAGAAGGATGATGATGATGATGATGATGATGATAATGTGAGGGCACATACATGGTATTGGCGATGGTCTGCTACGGGCAACATCTTCAATACTTCGTGGGCTGCTGACATCAACAGTTGCATCGTCAATTAGTAGGCAGACTGTAGCTGTATAGTGAGTAGGCTGGGCGCCAAGCGCCAAGTAGGAGATAGGGCCTGGACACTCATGTTGGTGGTGGCGAGAGCCAGCTCTCATTAACATTGGTTTTCAGTGTTACGATTCTTCATTGGTGTTATATTGGTGCATTTCTGCTTTCTGGATACAGTGATACTATCTGGCCTTCAATGTGATTGTGTATGCTGGTCATTGTCATCTCGCTATTGCTCATTTTCCTTGCACAACAGTGACCCCATCTTCTATTCAGTGGGAGGATGGTGGTAGTAGCACCTTGTGAGGTAGTGCAAGAAATGTCAGATTCACTTGACAGAATCCTGAACTCCCATGCACTCAAAGGAACAATCAAAACACAGCTTCCGTGATATTCTCCGCAGGTCCTAATGAAATTTTTCACGTGTATGCAGGCGGCTGCAAGGACGACACATTGACTGCGACTGACATCGATTTGAAGAAAAGAGTGACAAACTGCACACAAACTGCTCCAGTGCTCTCACAGCTACATGTCTGAGAGGCAGGCCCCACTGATGCCATGTTTGTGTGAAGCTAGCGCGGACCTATCCGGTCCTTCCATTACATTCTTACCTTCTGCAAACGGATGGTCTTTCCATTACATTCTTACCTTCTGCAAACGGATGGTCTTTCCATTACATTCTTACCTTCTGCAAACGGATGGTCTTTCCACTACATTCCTACCTTCTGAGAACGGGACATAGCACCACCAATAGGGCCTGAAGGCCCTGAACCTAATGATATCAAGCCGCGCTACAAAAGAGAAGTCCTATGAGGAGTGGCATTTGTCCTCCATCATTGAAAACCAGGTTCCACAACACTCATCCAACAGTCAGGGACATCCTAATCCAGACACCAACCTGTGGGTCAGGATCAACGACTGGTGCAGAGTCGACAATGCAACCGCGAATGTTCTGAAATGCATCTGGCACTCGTTTCTTCAGTGCCTCCAACACCGCTCCATACCTGCGCCACAGCAGAAAATAGGTCTCAATCAATCAGCTCTTGACATCCAAATGGTCAATCAGGAGGCCCCCCATTAACCCATAACCACCTGTTCTTGGCAAGGATGCAAGGATGCAGATCCGACATTCGCAATATACATACATCAGTTGCGATTTTGTTCACAACGTAGCGCAATCCTCATTACTCCAGTGCATATTCCATCCCTCCCTGACACAATGAGCAAGAGTACAGCCTGGGGTGCAAAGAGTACGCCCAGCTGTGCAAGAATACACCCAGCTGCGCAAGAGAACAACCAGCTGTGCAAGAGTACACCCAACGGTACATCAATCTGTAAGGTGTACACATTGGTTCTATAAGTGTACAAGACTACACCCAACGGTGCAAAGAGTACGCCCCGCTGTGCAAGAATACACCCAGCTGTGCAAGAGCACACCCTGCTGCACAAGAGAACAGCCAACAGCAAATCAATCTATGAAGGGTGCAAAGTGTACACCCCACTGTGCAAGAATACACCCAGCTGTTAAAGAGAACACCCAGCGGTAAATCAATCTACAAACTAGTATAAAGTGTACACATTGGTTGTACTCTTTCCTCCTTTCTTCCTTCCTTTCACAACAGGGTTAAACAAATGATTTTCCAAAGAAAAGGACAAAAAAACGAGACTGTGCAAGAATACACCCAGCTGTTAAAGAGAACACCCAGCGGTATATCAATCTACAAACTAGTATAAAGCTGTCTCTTATACACATCTAGATGTGTATAAGAGACAGAGTGTACACATTGGTTGTACTCTTTCCTCCTTTCTTCCTTCCTTTTACAACAGGGTTAAACAAATGATTTTCCAAAGAAAAGGACAAAAAAACGAGAACGCAGACATACCTGCGTCTCGCACGTCAGCTAGAAATCTGGATCTGGCCCTCGCATCAGTACGGTACAGCCATAATCGAGAAAAGAATGAACAACACAGTGACACACAATCTACTGGCCATCCTAACAGCAGACACAGAATTGGAGTGCCAACGAAACCCACATTATCGCCAATGGATTCAAATTTCAAACTCACCAGATCTGACGGTCGGTGTAATTCCAAACCCACAAACAAACGGGGGCGACCTCCCAGGTTCCATGATGACGGGTTCTTTCGAGTCCCGTAATTGGAAAATATGGAAGAGGTTCACCTACCTTGTTCTCCAGATCTAAGCAACAAGACATGACAGAACCATCTTGCAATCAGCCACACACACACACACACACACACACACACACACACACACACAGGGTCGACAGGAGCCAGAAGCGGTGGGCACACCACAATCCCAGGGGAGGGGCAACGGCAGCAAAACCAACGGACATAGCAAAGAAAAGAAAAAAAAAGAAAGAGAAAGTTTAAAACAACAAAAAAGAAAACAGAAAATAAACAGGTTTGACATGCTCATTTCCGTATCAGCCAGCATTCTTCATTTACAAAACATGTGGGGGATACTGCTGCTCCGACATGAAATGAAATCAATTGAGCCATTGCATTATCTCATCACTCTATCGAGATTTCAAAACCTGACCATATGAAACCACCCCAGTTGATTTTCCCCTTCAATTGCAAAATGACGAGTTCAGTTTTCCAAAACCCAGTGGGACAAGCAAGCTTCTGATGCAAACTTGAACATCACGTTATGGGGCAGCGCAGAGCGTGAAAACGAAAACATAGCTGTACATATGATATTTCCCAATTCACTACATTTATGATTGAACACATCATTCATTTATCACATCTCTAAGGGCATGCTCACACTAGCACTTCCCAAAATGCATCTGGCTGCACTTCCCAAAATGCATCTGGCTGCAACTACGGCCAGACCATTATGAATCTCACCGCAATCACGTCCAGAGCTCAGAAGAAGTAGTCCTAGTGTGAGTATGACCCTAATAACAGATTATGGCTTGTTTACATTTCTCTCCCATGGCCGCAAACTTACACTACCGTCTTCACCCGAATAGAACGCCCGGTCATTATCGGTGCACCTGGACCCAAAGTTGTGCCAAATACAGCTATAATGACCGGGCGTTCTATTCAGGTGAAGACGGTAGTTACCTGACTGGTTCGCGGTTATGATGAACTTCCGCTGTGAAGAGATTCGCTGCACCTGGACCGAAAGTTGTGCCAAATACAGCTATAATGACCGGGCGTTCTATTCAGGTGAAGACGGTAGTTACCTGACTGCTTCGCGGTTATGATGAACTCCCGCTGTGAAGAGATTATACATTTACAATATATATATGATATACATACATATATATCGTCAAACAGAACTGCCGGTGAACCGTAGGCAGAGAGGGAGAAGAGGAAGAGGACACCAAACGAGGGGCTGTGACAAACTGTTTCGTCGGAGTTTCACCAACAGACTCATCAAGAGGAGGCTGCACACTCAACAGTCTGCAGAATCCCCTAACTGAAAAGTGATAATCCACCTCAACGACTGCCCGACAACTGGTTATATATTGTCACATTATGAATCCGAGCGCAAAGGCGGAAAAGACAAAACGAGAAAGGGAAAGAAGGAAGGAAAGCCCCACCTGTTCATCACCTCTTACGTACAAGGCGAGCCACGTGGATGACAGGTTGAGCGCTGGCTGCCCCAATCCCCGTGTGTCCCGTGTGTCACAAGGACCCACTTGCACGCAGCCAAAAGGCAAAGAGGTAAAGAAAAGGAGGAAACCAGACCTCACAGAGGCAAGAGAAAGAGAAAAGGAAAAAACAAAGGAAGAGGAAGGCCTATTAGTCAAACAAAGCAAATGACACATCCCACAGATAAACCAACTGCCACTGTCACAACAAAGTTCAACATATTTTTTTCTTGTTTTCTTTTTCCTTGTTTTCTTTTTTTTCTTTCTTCAGAAGGTTCTTTTCTTCTTTCTTTTATTCTTTTCGTGTTTTCATTTTTTTCTTTTTTCCTTCTTTCCCTAGGCTACCAGAGTGGCCCGGGGTCACTTGCCCGGCCGGGCCATAAAGAATAAAAATAATAAATTATTTTTAAATTTTATTTTTTATTTTAAATTTGGTAAAGAATTTCGATGTGACCCTGAGGTAAAAGTTGTTCAGTTTATTTTTCTGCATAACATAGTTTTTTCCGGGATTTTTCGATTTGTTTTTTTTTTGTTTGTTTTTTTGCTGGGACCTTCCCTTGTCCTTGCACGGGCTGGCCAGCCGGGACCCGGGCGGCCCGGCTGGTAGCCTAGTTCTTTCCTCAACTCCACATCTGGTGATAGTATCGAAAGCTTCATATGTCCTGCAATTAGTGTTGCTCCTGACCTACCTGATTCTATTGACCAGTCAGGAAGAGGAGCCCCCACCCCATCCCGGCAGATAGGAGGCACGCTGAGGATGACGTGGATGTTCACAAAGATACCCATCAAGAAGCGCTGCGCCAGCACAGCATTCAGCAGGACGTCTAGCACGGACCATCCCCCATCAAAACAGTCCTGACAAAGGACATGCTGTCCACATGTCAAAAAAAACACCAGGACGTTCATCACAGTGCGGCATCATACAGTCCTGACAGATCTTTAGCTTATTATTACTATAACCGTTATCATTTTTGTTGATCTTGTTGTTATTATTATAGTTTAATTAATAAAAGGAGAAAAAAGTTCAGTTAGATTACGGCCACAAAGTAACAGCGCCAGACAGATATGTGCATATTACGGTAATGTGCATCACTACTTGACAACCAGGTGATGGACTTACCTGGCTGTTTCCCATTCGAGCAAGACCGCAAATAGCTGACCATATATTGTCACATGATATCAGAGCGCCAAAGCGAAAAAACAGAAAGAAAACAAGGAAAACAAAAAAACTTAATTCGTTTTAAATCTTCTAAGGCATGGTGACGACGGCAGTGTACGTGAAAACCAAGGCGACCCCCATGCTGATGATGCTCTCTCAAGGCGGGCGCCAAATGCACGACAGAGACCTCAGCAAGTGCACCACAGCCAAACTTTCGCCTCATCAATTCTGGCAATCCCAAATTTGGTGATAGAAACTGCGGTCGTCGGTTTTTATTACAAGAAAATTGCCGAGGACAGTTCAACGCATCTACAATCTGGTGAAAAAAACTGACGTAGTCGGTACTTAACTACACGCACACAAACACACAAAAGCACACACACACACACACGCACACAGACACAGACGCGCGCGCACAACACACACACACACAAAAAAAAAAAAAAAAAAAAAAAAGATCATGTGTCGGCCGGCGAAGTACAGATCACCGATAGCCTGCTCGATTAAACAACACATGCAAACAACATGGCAACTCATAAGGAACGCGCGACAGTTTTTTGATATGGGAGGTTCATAATAAGAGTATATGAAGAGATGGGTTATACTCGTCATGCCCAAGTAAGGAAGTTGACGAATGAGCGGAGCGAGGACACGTCAGAGAACTACGTGGAACAAATACCGTTATCTGCCTAAGCAGACTGTAGAGGGTTCAGCCTCCTGATGAGTCGGGACCTTAACCCCAATTGTGATTAAGCATCAGAGACTGCCGGACAACTGATACCCCACAAGGACTGAATTCTACCAAAGACTGCCGGACAACTGATACCCCACAAGGACTGAATTCTACCAAAGACTGCCGGACAACTGATACCCCACAAGGACTGAATTCTACGCAGTTCTCTGACGTGTCCTCGTGGGGTATCAGTTGTCCGGTAGAATTCAGTCCTTGTGGGGTATCAGTTGTCCGGCAGTCTTTGATGCTTAATCACAATTGGGGTTAAGGTGGGTTATCACTTACAGTGCAATGAGTTAGGGGACTTTGCAGACTGTAGAGGGTTCAGCCTCCTGATGAGTCGGCGAAGCTCCGACGAAACAGTTTCTCACAGCCCCTCGTTTGTTGTCCTCTTCTCCCTCCCTCTCTGCCCCTCAGTTTACTAGGCAGTTCTGTTGACGATGTGCCTACGGTTGAGTCGGTGAAACTCCGACGGAAGTCTGTCACTGCCCCTTGATTATTGTCTTCTTCTCCCTCTCTGCCGACGGTTCACCGGGCAGTTCTCTGTGACGACATACACACCACACACACACACACACACACACACTCATATATATATATATATATCGTCACACCGTGTATCGGAGCGCAAAGGCGGAAAAAGACAAACCAAGCGACGGAAAAGGACGGAAAGCGCCACCTGTTCATCACCTCTTACGTACAGGGCCAGCCACGTGGATGACAGGTTGAGCTCTGGCTGCCCCCATCCCCGTGTATTGTGATCATCTTCTAATCCTTCGTCCTTCCTCGTTGGGCTATCCTCTTCTCTTAGAGAGAGAGAGCAGCCGGCAGGAAGAGAGGACGAAAACCTTCGAGTACAGTCGTGATTGAGCAGATGGAGACGCAGTGCAGCCTATCGCAAAGAGAGAACAGCCGTACAGTCGTGATTGAGCAGATGGAGACGCAGTGCAGCCTATCGCAGAGAGAGAACAGCCGGCAAGAAGAAAGGACGGGGAGTTTACAGCGTTCACTTCAACACTTATTACTAACATTCGCCCATGCCTTCCCTTGGCAGTCTCATTTCACATTCACACCTTGGATTGTATGTACTCTCAATTGTCTGTCTTCTCTTCTTCTCTTATTTTTGAGACGGGGGTAGCCCCTCGACAGCGGTGTACTCAACAGAATTTTAACTCTGTTGGTTTAACTCTGTTCGTTAGCGGTTACACGTGGTGGTGGGGTATCATTCCGCCCCGTATGGCAAGTACCCAATTCCGGGTGGTATAGTCTTGTTCACCCTCGTCTGATCTGTTTCTCCTTTTTTTTGGACATCAATTTCGTCCGACGTTCCTCTTAGTCTGTTGCTTCTTTCTCTTTGAATTGTCTTCTTGAATATCCAATATATGATAATTATCATTATAATAATAATTATCATATTGTATATCTTTCACTTTGCTTCTTTCTCTTTGAATTGTCTTCTTGAACTAAGTGTCGCACTTACGTCAGCCAGCCTGTGTTGCTAAACGTGTGGAAGACAAGACTTCGCTCCCCGGCTTCGCCACGTGGCGCTGCCTGAGCCGCTACTCCCCCTTCCCTCTCCGTCACGATCCATCTCTCCAATTGCTCCACCAAGCTCTGCACGTGCTTCTCTGCCTTCCCATCTGGTCCCAGGCTTAGCACCGACGACATCGGGACCACGAACGTGACTGCGTTCATCCCCTGCGACGTGTACCATTCCGCGTATCGTCGGAGATGCTTCTGCTGGCAGCCCAGCCACCCCAAGAGCACCACCGTTACCGCCTGCTTCTTCCCTCCTACCTCTCCCGGCCCATCTCCCGGTCCTCCTCCCCCCTCGCTCCGTCCCGATCCCGGCTTCGGAACGTGCCACGTATGCAAAGCACGCGGCCACACTGCTGTTGACGTCGAAGTCTGTCCGGATACCGGCGCGACCTCGTCGAGGCATCGCCGCGCCCATCGCACCCCCGCCGTCGGTACACCGCCGGCAAGAATACCGCCCCCCGCGCCGCTGGCCAGAAAAGACGAAGACGAGGAAAACAGCGCTGGCGAGAAAACCGCGCGCAATTGCGACTCCGCGATCGCCTGTGAGAACGACGGAAAACTCCCCTGCGGTGAGTGCACCGAAGACACAGGAATGAAAACCGCAGCGGGAGAGAAGATGTTCTTCGCTGGGATATTCATCGGCGATAGCGAAGAAGACCCTTGGATCCACGCCACGTGGCTGGAGGAACTCGTCGACGGCGGCAACTTCATGGCTGGCCACAACGGATCTCCAGAAGATGGACGGGCCAAAAAGGAGGACGATGATGAAGATGATTGTGCAGAGGGAGAGGAGGAGGGGAAGGAGGGGGAGGAGGAGGAGGAGGAGGCGGCGGAAGAAAAAGATGGTAAATTACTTCGCAGCTGTTGCAATTCGAATCCGTCTCCATTGTTCTTTGACTGTGACAGCTCAAACAACTTTCCGTTACCATTGATTGACTGGGCCGAGAGGTGCGGATGAGAAGAAGCAGGAGAATGTTGGGAAGAGGACGAAGATGAAAAAACAAAATACGGAGGAGAAGAAGACGAGGAAGAACGAGAGGAGGAGGGGGAGGAGGAGGAGGAGAAGGAGGGAGAAGAAGATGCAAAGGTTCTCAAGGAGACATGATGTTTGTCCGAAGATGGCGGGAAAGAAGACACCTGCGAGTTCCACGGAGAATTTCTGGACGAACCTGGACCGACAGATTTGGACAGATCGCCATCGCGCAGGTGGTCAGATTCTGCTGACGTGGCACGATCCAGAGGAAACAAGAACGAGGGCCCGTCATTAGTTGCTGCCGGGTAAAAGAGGATCGGCACCTGCGGAGGTCTGACCGAGTTGGGGCCGTTTCTAGTGGAGCTCCATGGCTTCTCTCCCCCGGTATTCTCCCCCTCCGCCGTGGCTCGCGCCGGAACATGGGCGGGGGAATCGGAAGTTGAGGCGGCAGCTGTGGCCACCGCAGCAGCAGCTGCCGCCGCCATAGTCGGATTGTGACCCCACAGCCTTAGCGCCGTAGCGACCGCCATCGCTGGAAGTTCTGGCGATGGCGATCGCGATCGCGATCGCGCACACACAGGCTGCCCTCCTACCGTTAGTAGCAAATTGAGACTCCGACGCACCGCCAGACCCCGGCCCTGCCACGCGCGCGCCACGTCGGAACGAGGCTCGCGCGCTAATTGCCCGCCGAAAGTTGCGATTCCTTTCCCCCCGACCAATCCTCGTCCGCTCCCTCCTCGTCGTCTGCGCACATCACCGACGGAACTGACGCGCAACGTTGGCGGCAAGGCCGCAACAGTAAGAGCCCGCCGTTTTTTCACCTCTGGATCTCCCCGACCTGCCAATTTGTCGCATCCAACGAGTCGCGCTGTCGCACGATGATTGCTTGTCACACAATCACCGATCGCCTCTTCTCTTGGGTCATTGACGAGGGCGAGGCGCCTGAGCGCGACATGACCACTTCGACGCAATCTGCATGATCGATTCAATGGCAGGGAAACGCCGAGACGAAGCCGCGAGCCCATGCGAATTTTCGACACGTCCGCTCTTGGGCGCGGGCAGTTTCTGAATATTTCCACTTTTCCAATGGCTGGCTGCTTAGCCAGGCGCGTTGCCAGCTTGCGAATGAATGACTGGTTAGCCAGGCGCGTTGCCAGCTCGGCTTTGCTGCAACGTTTTTTCCCGCGAAAGCAGTCCAGCTAGGCACGCAACCGTCAGCGGCGGGACTTGGGATGACAAACACGCGTGACCGTCAGCGGCGGGCCGACTCTTCGTGCAGCGCCTACATGGCACCTAACGGAGAGCTGTGAGACCGCGTCCTTTCCAGGAGTGAGATCGCCATTCACCAAAAGAAGCGGCAGTCGAGATACGCGGACAAATCGTCGTGGCAATCGAATCACCACCACAGGGGAGAACAACAGACTTGTGGTTCCCAAAGCCGCTGGGAACCGAGGTCGGACAAGAAAAACAAATCGAACCAACCGCTGATTCTTCTGGAACGACCTCCGCGCACCGCTCATCAAGTGTGAAAAAGGCAAAAGCTATGGAGGATGTATAATTCCACATTCTAAGGGAGTAGACGTTCTCCATTTGGCACATTTGGTGAGTGGTGCTCTGAGGCCGGACGTTCAGACGCCATTACCCACGCTGTTGGACAGATTCCCGATTGCCTGATGGCACCGCAGGCACCCCTGATAATCTGTGATGTTCGCAGCCCGTCAGGGATGCGGTTTATACCCCTGAATCAAATTTTCGTCGTTCTGTTGGCAGGCAGTCAGGGGTGCTTTTACCCCCCCTGAGACATTTTCATGGTCCGTCTTTATACCAGTTCGCAGTCCGTCAGGGGTGCGTTTTACCCCCCTGATAACATTTATCATCGTCGTTCATTATACGGTCGTCGGAAGGCTGGAAAAACAAGGCATGGCAGTTTAGGGGGTGGTGGCATCTTATTTGAAACTGCAGGACCGGTAGCTGCTGTGGGACCGCACGGGTTTTGTTCAAGGACCTCGTAGGACCGGTAGCTGCGCGTAGGAGGCCGAGGAGGCCGCAGTCCTTTTTCAAAATTGAAACGGTGCGGGTCCACTTTTCTTGATTGTATACCGCATGGGCACGAGGAACGCAGCCCTAAGGTAGCTGAAGCGATTATTTTGTGGTCTTATGTGTGAGAGAGAGAGAGAGAGAGAAAGAGTATTTTACTCTTAAGTTCTAGTGCATCACACACACAACAAACTGAAAGTTCTAAATCTTCGAAGGTCATTACTTCTTGTAAGATATGTAATATTTTTCTTTTGATTTTTTCGTAATCAATATTTTTAAATGCTTCATAATTTTTAGATTTTTTAAAAATTTGTGTTCTAGCGATTGTCTTTAATCTCTTATGTTTTATTATTGTTGTATTGTTTTCGTCATTTAGGTGAAGCAATTATTTTGTGGTCTTACAAGAGAGAGAGAGAGAGAGAGAGAGAGAGAGAGAGAAAGAGAGGCAGCGAGAGAGAGAGAGAGAGAGAGAGAGA